CACATGGACGCCGATAAAGGAGGCAATCCTCCTCTTCCTCCTCCTCCTCCTCCTTCTCCTCTTCCTCCTCCTCATGATCATCCTCCTCTTCCTTCTTTTTCTTCTTCTGCTTCTTCTTCTGCTCTTCCTCCTCCTCCTCCAGCTCGCCCAACCCCTCCCATCCTCCTCCTCCTCCTCTTTGTTCTTCATTTTCTTTGTCTTCTCCTTCTTTTCCTCCTCTTCATCCTCTGCCTCCCTACTTCTCCTTGTCCTTCCCATGTTCCCTTCTCCTGCCCTCTTTAGCTTTTCTCCTTTTTTCTTCTTTCTTCTTTTCTGCTCACTTCTTTTCAAGGGTAGCCTAGTTTGATTTTATATTGTCTGCACACCATTGTAGGAAAAATTTCAGGAACAGACAAACAAAACGCTCATTTCTTTTTCTTTTTACCTGTTTTTATAACTTCTGAAAAATGTTGATTGTTCTTCTCCTTGATCTTGTCAGACTGTCAGAGGCAGAGTCTCACATTGAGAGTAGCGAGAAAGTGGAGCACATTGTGCAGAAATTGGAAGCTCAGCTGGCTCAGTGCCAAGATGAACTCGGTGACCTTGAGAACCAGAAGTCAGAGTTGGGTATCCAGCTGCGACAGCAGGAAGTGACCTTGAGGCATGAATTTGAGGAGGAGCGACGCAATCTGGCGGACCGCTTCTCCCGTGAGTTGGAGCAAAGGCAGATGAGTCATCGCTACCAGATGGAGCAGCTTTTCTCCAAGGTTTGCGCTCTTTGTCTTGAGGTTTCTGCCTCGTTCTTATTGTGCTACCATCACTGCTGATTGATGGGAGCTCAGGTCTGGTCGGCTCCATTAGTTCTATTTGAATGTTTTCCTTGTGGTTAGGCAAAACGTGATACTATAGTAAGGTTTACTCCAACTAAAATCTGATGTGTTAAAAATCAAATTCATTTCAAGGTACTGAAAATTTACTTGAATTGACATAAAGGCCTTTATTAATATTTTCCTGCATCTGAGCAGAGAATGGAGTGGCAAACCATGATTGTGACTGTCTGTTTCAGATCTTGCACTTGAAGAAAAAAGAGGTAAATTATACTTACCTGTAGTATCACTTGTCACATTTAAAGGAACTCCACTACTTCTGTAGCTTTTATTATGCTGAAGTTGAAGTATGTCTTGTTAGATGACATTCACGGTTAACTTTTTTGATGGAAGTTCATGGGGTTATCTCTAAAGATGGCTGATTCTATCACTGAACCGTTACTGATAAAACTGAAAGGCAACACAAGTTTCTCCTCTTGGCAAGATGAGGGAAAAAGTAACTTACAGAAGATCATAGCTGTGTAAAATGGAAACAAACAGGTTGAAAATGACTGAAGGTGGATGGTTGGCAGGTGCTCTGGTGTGGTTTGCTCCTTCTTCCTTATCAAACGTTTTTCATCCTTATCTCTCCTCCTTCTGTACGTCACGCTTATTATAAGTTACTAACACCTCTAATTTTCAGCACTTATGTGACCTATTCGTGTTGCAAGTGCAGTAAAACTCTTACTAAAACTAGAGTGACAGAAGAAAACCATAGTAAAAACTTGGAAAAATGGACTTTGTTCTCTCAGGGTGCTGAAAGCCTCACCGGTAAGCTCCGCGACGACTTCCTTTCTTTGGTCCGCAAGCACACAGAGGAGGAAGTGGGTCGCTCGCAGGCAGCCATCCTAAACCAACTGCAACAGGACAGGAGTGGTATTGCCGCAGCCCTGGAGCATGAAAAGTCTCAGATTTGTACGTTATACAATGGGTAGTTCCTTGTCTGTTCATGTTGTTGTCATCCTCATTTTCTTTTACTTCTTGATGGGGTTTTCTCATTGTAGGAGGTGGGATGGGGATGGTTGGTGGAATGTGGTTATCCCATTATCATTGTGGGAGGTGTGGTGCGGATTGTTGGTGGGAAATGGGATTCTGTCATCTACTTGTATTTTTTTTATTTCATGTCTTTTTTTTTCCTGACCCATTCCTGGGAAAAGCACAGCCTTTTCATTATTTTTCTCTTTTAACTCATTCGTGACCACAGTTACCACATGATACAACATCAGTGCCTTGACTCATCATGACGGATTAGAGGGCTTTTGAGCTCTATCTTACTCTTGCATACTGAACACTAGCTCTTTTGTTTAATATATGCTTTTTTTAAAAATCATTTTGCCCTTTTCATTTTTCACAAACATTTTGAATTTTGCGATTATCATCATGTGTTCCAGTGCATCGCGTCCCTTTTAACGTTTCGTAAATAACTGAAATTTGAGTGTTTGTTTAAAAAACACCAAAATACCAATAAAATTACTGAACTTGATGTTGTCCTCCTACAGTTGAAGCAGCGGAGAACCAAAAGTTGGAGCTGATGCAGAAATATGAGACTGAGATTTCTTCTCTGAGGACAGAGCTAGGTCAGCTACGGATACAGGTAGAGGCAGAGAAACAGGCCATAGCGGAGGCCGCACAGCGCAATGCTGAGGCCAACGAGCAAGCCTCACAGGAAGTAGTACACAATCTCCGGAGAGAAATGGAGGTAACTCTTGCAGAGATGAACTTCATTCTTTTTTTTCATGCTTCTCACAAAGAATGTTCAGTAAAAAATTCATATTCAGAGGCAGTTAGGTGTTTTGGCAATGTCCACATGTTATGATATATCATCAGTATGTTTGGAGTGCAACTTCTTTAAGTTTCTTGAATACAAGTAACATGAGGTGATGTAGCACCTCTTGCTTTTTTAATTAGAATGAGAGAAAGATGTTTAATAAATTCTGGGGGTTTTGTTTGTTTGTACTAGATACATTTTGAACCATGTGCGTTGTAAATACACTACAATATTGGCCTTAACCTTTATCATAGTGTAGAGGTTTGTTTTTGTTTTAATATATCATTCATGTTTTTATCAAACACAGGCCACAATTATTTTTAAAGTGCTTGGAAATTTGTTGGTGCATTTATATCATTTCATAACGTTATTAAAAGCCACTATAAAAGGATTGTCATGGGGGGCAATATTATTTTTGTTCTGTTTTGTTGCACTTTCATGGCATGATGTAAAGACAAGTTTTGATGCTGCGCTTGTTATTAGACGTACAAACATTATTCAGTTAAATACATGTCCATCAAAAGAGTGTTTCAACAACACTAAAAAAATACAGGCCGTGTGTGATTGTAAAAATATATTTACAATGATTATGTAGATTATTGAGCGTCGAAGATCAGGAAAAGTGGAGAGCCCACCTGAAACATCCAAAGGACAACCTACAACCCCACAGCAGGTTTTTGAACATTGTGGTGCTGAGTTCTTGTGGTGTTTGTGCACACAGTGATGAGTGACTGGCACATGTTATGGTCTTTGTGTTGACTTTGGCACACACAAAACCATTGAAATGAACAAAACATGTTTCACATAGAAGTAATGATTGTATTGTGAGGGAACAATGATACTCTCAGCTTGCACAGAGCTATGAAGGAGAGGGGGACTGAGGCAGAACAGGCTGATCATTATGACCAAGTGTGAAGGGGCCATAGAGTGACTGGGCTGTTCTTCGTGCATGGCACATACCAGTGTGTCGCTACTCAGTTAATCAGCACTGTTATGTAGACGTTACAAACTTTAAATAATCGACTGCTTTGATCTAAAATGGACACAGATATGGCCAACTTTTTGATTGACAAAATGACTGCAAATTTTTTTTCTAGACAGTCTCTTTACAAGTTTGTACTGGCTAAGCGGTTGTGATACATCACTTCAAATTTTGGATGTTGTTTCTGCACAGTGTGAATAACTCACACAAAAATTGCACTCATGACAGATATATTAGAGAAATGACTTTTTATTTCATTAACATTTACTAACATTAAATTGCTAACCAAGTGAAATGATAAAAAAAACTTTAACAAAATGTCAATAAGCCTACAAAATGGAAAGAGTGGGGTTGATCTCTTTTTTAACTTTTAAATCAAAAGCTGTGATTCAACTGTGAGAGTTTTTTTTTTTTAGAAAGTGATTTATTTTTCCGCAAATTAGTTCTATATTTTTTGTCATTCTCTGTAGACACTCAAATCTCCACCCACCTGTCACTTTGCTTGCGATCCACGACATCAATGAAAATTTGATAAGAGCATTTTGTCTGTCGTGTGTGTTTTGGTTTATAGAAACTAATGAGCATAACTAATCTTATTGTATCCCTATTCTTGAAGGGCTTACGAGAAGGCAGAATAAATTGACATATGTAGTTATTGATTTCGTGATTTTAAAGTCTAGCACAAGTGATTAGAAAAAGAAAGAGATAATAATGAAAACAAATACCATTTCATTAGCATGTGCTTCTCGAAAATACACTCTTTGTACTTCGCAGTTTAATCAAGTTGAGGATTTACAGAGTTGTGTGCATCTCACCCTCTCACTCCCCTCATAACCACCACCACCACCCCCACTCTCCTAGTTCAAATATTATTCAAGTTTTGATGACATAATTATAAAGAACAAGCTCACTTGTATTTTCTGTCCTGTTCTGATTCATTGATATAAGAGTATATAGTCATGGTACTTGGATGAAGAACCTTCAACACAATCACCCATCTCTTCATTCAAAAAGATATTACCAACATGTTACTTCCATCATATGAATGTTTAATACTTTGTCAATGGTTTACAACTGCCCAGGATCAGCATAAACGGAAAATATTTGTTCTTTACAGTATGTTTTGATATATTCTTAACTTTAACTCTTTATCTGTAGTTTAATGGACTACCCAACAAAATAAACCGTTCTCGTCATCTTCTTTAGCATTAACTCAGTTCTGAAGATATTAGATATACACTCAGATTTTTCCAAGACAACCACCAATTGTCAAGGAAAAATATGATTGTTTTAGACAGGTGGACATCTTTGACAGTGTTATTATAAAGTAAAAATGCAACGTGGGGAATGTTAAGTCGTTGTTTGTACAGGTGATTGTCTTGGGTAGGTGACTGTTAGAGCAGATTAAACTGTAATTCCCCGCTGGTTTGGTTGATTATTCACATATATTATTGAAGAGTTAAGGGTAAAATAATTCCATGGTTGGGGAAAATCAGTTTGTGCAATCATCGTTTCTGAAGCAGTCAACTTAGATTACTACATTAACCTTAAACCATGGTAAGTAGTAAATTTCAAAGTTTCCTTAAAATGATATGTTAGTTTTGTTTGTGCATATGTGTACGTGTTATGAATATGCATGCATGTGTTAATGTGTATGTGTATATGTATATATGTGTGATACCATGATGGTGTTCCTGTCTAGGCGGAGCTTGTGCTGGAGTTGGACAAAATCAAGGAGACGTTTGAGTCTGAGAAACGAGAGCTGGAGACACAGAAGACGCTGCTGGAGGACGAGCTCGGTGAGCTACAGGGCTCGCTAGAGGCAGAGCGGAAGAAGACTGAAGAGATGAATGCTCTGAAGGTAAATTGTTTTTTGTTTCCGATCATTGTCATCAACATCATCATGATCATCATTGTCGTCATCATCGTCATCTTCATCATCATCATCATCATCATCATCATCATCATCTTTATCATCATCAACATCAACATCATTTTGTCATCATCATCGTCTACACCATCACCATCATTGTTTAAAAAGCAGAGTAGGAAGGGAAAGTCTTGCTTGAAAAATAAGTTTAACGTTTCGCAACATAGGCTTCCAACAACTGAGAGTAAGACTGATGTAGGGCTGTATAAGTATCTAGAAAAGGAGCCTAAAAAAGGAGGTCTTTTATAGTTAAATGTAGTTGCCAGGTGGGCCACACATGACTTGGTGTGAACCAGGTCAAGGGGCTAATTATAAAGGAATCAATCATCATCATCACCATTATCACCTTACATTCAGTCGTTTCCACTATTATCATCACTGGCAATGTGTATGATTAAAATTTCATTGTGATGTTCTCTGTAATTATGATTCTGAACCTACCCTTCACATGATGAATCTCAGACTTTCTCCTTGGAGAGAATGAATCGTAATAAAAACTACCTATGTACAACTCGGAAAAACTATATGTTATGCTCAGCTGTTTCTGCACTGTAAAAATCTTAGTGACTTCTAATAGAAATACTAGTAACTGTATATCCTTAACTTATAAAGTTCTGAGGTAAAGCATGTATATTTCTGTTTGTAAATCATTGTATTGTGGTAGGATATAAAACTTGTATATTAATTTATTATTTTTTTCCCAGGAAACTTTGAAGATGCTGAGAGCAGAGAAGAAAGAGGTTGAAGGCATGGTAGAAGGCATGAAAGAGAAATTGTTCCAAGCGTACAGGCAGAAGGGGATGGAGAATGCAGACTGGGAGAGCAGGCTTCAAGATGTCAAGGTTGAAGGGAGGAAGATTGGAGTGGAGGAAGGAATCAGCAAAGGCAGGGAAGAGGGAAAAGCACAGGTTATTATATATATATTTATAAATCACTACCTCAGAATTACAAAGTTCTATCTTCTCAGTGCCTTGTTTTGAGAAATTTGACCCCAAAAAATTTGAATTTCACAACATGTCAACCTTTTTTTAATTAAATTCTTTGAATATTTTGATAGCAATTCTATAAAACCTTACGATTTTGATACAGCAGATAGAACATTTGGTCTCTAAATTCATGGTCTTAGTAACTGAAAGGGACCAAAATGTCAGGTAGAACTTTGTAATTCTGCGGTGATAAAATGTTTTTGTAATCTTATTTATTCAAAAGGCATGCTTATTCAATTAAGACAATATGTTGGATTTGTTTCACTCATTTAAAAAAAAATCTTTTTGAAGCAATTTTCTTAGTTATGAAAATAATCTTAAATTTTTTTTTGAAAACTCGTAATATAGTCAAAACTTGTTTTAAACACAAGTATTCTTATTGACGTCAGGAGCTGTTAAAAGACTGTATAGAATTAATTTTTCGCATTATCTTTTTGGTTATTCTCGTAAGGATGTTCCCAGTTTGAACTTGTTTTAAAAAAGCCAAAGCTCATATTCTTTGTTACATAATATATTCCGTTGGATTCAATCTATAGGCCTTTCACTTGTCAATATTAATATCCAAGTACCATATGTTCATGAGACAGTGCTTTCTCATATTTCTAACATCTTTCAATAAATGTGTACACTTTTTGCCTTGACAATTTATTACATACAGTGTATAATGTAATGGTTAGGGACAAGTCACACTTTGTTGTAAATTTTGCTTTTATTTTTGAGTTTTTGTATTAATTTGGATCATTTTGTTAATTTTTACTAAATATTTAAGATTTTGAAAATTTGAATTAATACCTCCCCCATAAATGACCTGGACTTATCGTCTCCTGAAGGATGCCTCTTAACTATGAATTTATCTGTCCATCTTTCCATCCTGGTACATGTAGTAAATATCTCACGACATTTACCCCTTTTAGGATGGCTTCAGAAGAGAAATTCTCAGGGGGGCAAGTCTCACGTTTTAAATGACATTTCTTTACTTGCTGTTTGCACTTTTAACAATGATAGTACAAAACAAGATGGGCCACTTCTCTCTTTGAGCCAATTAAAAAAGTTTCCTCAAAATTTGGTGGCGCCCTCTTCACAAAAGCGCACTCTTTGCGAACAGAGTTACCCTACTTGAGTTTTAAAAAATCAAAGTGAAACTAGCAAGTTTTGGGATAAATTTCGGAAGAACGCTTTTTAAAAATGGTTACGCTGACAAAAAACCTCTTCCGGAGGAAAAGGAGATGGTTTTCTTCGTTTAATTTGACTTTAGAATGAAGGGCGAGAGGTCATTAAAATAAAAAAAACACCTAAAACTCCGCACTGGACGTACCCGAACTGCTGATGAACAGCAGTCGATCTGCGCACGCAAGGAGGTGCTATTCCTATTCTTCTTTTGGAAAAACGAAAGAGAGCTTCAAAACAGACTGCAGCGCCATCTGAAGCAAAGAGCATACTTCCTGCGGACACTTTTTAGGCTGAGTGGCCCATCTTGTCTTGTACTATCTTTGCTTTTAATCTGAACTTCCTTGTGGTTTCTTCCTAGACATCATTGATTAAATCCCTGGAGTTGTTCAGTCGGACAATTTCTCATTTCATTGTCTACAGTTTTTTTGTTCCCTACTACATGCATTTGTAGGCTACTACTCTTCTAAGGGCAAATAAGACACCATCGGCATCTGTGGCTTCACGGCTAGCCTCTTCACCGTTACATGCAGGAGATGCGAGTTCAATTCCCAAGTGGGGAGAAATTTTATGGAGTATGTCAGTCTTTTTACTTGAATGCTTTACCCCTCTCAACAGAGGTTGGCCCTGACAGGCATGGTCTAAGCCCACCTCATAAATAATCTAAATTGTTTTGGTGAGGCACATAAAAACACCTACATTTTTTTAAATTAGACACCAAGTCATTTCATTTATCATCTTCTCAGGGACACATGGAAGGCTACAGTGAAGGCTTCTCAGCTGGTAGGAAGGAAGGATATGAAGAAGGAAAGAAAGATGGGGAAACGTCAATGTCTAGGTCACAAGAGGAACTTCAGGTATCCCATTCTGTTGTTTTTGTTTTTGCCACTTGCAATAAACCATTGAATTTTTTATTGTTTGGGGTTTCTTTCTAGTACTTAAAGTACTGCCAACACTGCTTCAGAATGTACTGAAACTTAACTACTTTGGGAATGTCAAATACTGTGATTTACTCAAGAAATATATTCTGGAAGCAAAGATAGAAGACAAGAGAAGAAGAGGAAGACATTCTAGAAGATGGAAACAGTACACAGCTAGATCTACATGGTTTGGAACCACTCAGGCAGGTAGAATGGCAACAGACAGAGTGTTTTATTGTAGAAAGTCCAAGCAAGAAGTTACATCTAAAGACAGGAAAAGCTTTAAAAAATACATATAAGCCTAAGTTCATGTAGTTTATCTGAAAGGCAAGTTTTGCAGTCAATAACTTCTGTTGACCTACACATTTACAATGTATTAATTAATATTATGACCAAGCCAAAGCGTGTAAAAGATTCTGTACTATTGCTGGCGTTCAGCTGACTGTTTGTCTTAGCTGATTGCATGACAACAGTACTGGTAGGTTTTTGTCAAGGCATCAGTTTTTGTGCTATAAAGTTACCTCTACTTCCCTGATGGCAAACCATACTTCTTTTATATTCCCCCTCCTATTATGTTCTCTATCTATCCCCTCTCTTTTTCATTGCAGGTTATTACCCTTGTTGTGCTGAAGTGTTTCTGTTTATCTCCTACTCAAATTCTTTTTATAGGTGGTTGGTGGGAGCTCTGTGTGTGGTTTGTTCCTTCTTCTGTTTAAAAAATGTGTCATCCTTATCTGTCCACCTTCTTTTTTTTGTATGCTACTCTCCAGTAACACCTCTAATCTCAGGCACATTTATGACCTATTTGAGTTGCAAGTGCAGTAAACTCTTACTGAACTAAACTAAACTCATATTCTTTTTTCAGAGGCAGATAGAATCCCTGAAAGGTGACAAGTCTGTTCTGGAAAACAGGCTAACCCAGGAGTGGGAAAGAGCCAACAGAGTCACTCAACAGGCACTTGACAGAGACCAGCTGAAGGTCAGTTCATGTGTGCAGTCAAACTGATTGAGGTTTGTGCTTTAGTATCTGACAATGATCAATGTATCCGTAGAGGAGAATATGTATTTTTTAACTGTTTAGACCCTGAGTTATTATTTCCACCGTTTCCCTGAGTTTTTTTCTACAGCCACCTAAACCTGGCGCACTATGTCTCATTATAACCCCAAAAGCTTGCCTCTGGCTTCTAAATGGCAGAAGAAACAAAGGCTTAGTCATTACTAATAAACTTGGTTCAGGAATAGTTCCGAAAAACAAGCAAAAACTAGCACTAAATGAAAGGAAACAGTTGTCACTGGTATCGGATGCTGATGGGGAACAGGGTTATTACCGCCGGACGCTACCAGCGTCTGATGGGGTTTAAAGAGTTAAACAAAAATAGAAGAAATAAGGGTTATGATGACTTGTGGCTTCTGCTATGGCAATGAGACCAATTCTTGGAGAGGAAAGTTTGTCACATTCCCAGCATTTAATTGCAATTTAAATGCTCAAATTGATAAACAACAACTACAAAAAATCATCCAAAATGATCAGGCAAATCTCTCATCACCTGACAAAAAAGCGCAACCTCCCTTTCTCCCCTTCTCCCCTTCTTCCAAACAAAAAAAATCCCATTTTAATTGGGCCTTATGGTAGTCCTTAACCTTTGAACACCTCTGGTTGGGAAGTCAAATCAGAAGGAAATGTTTTGTTTTTATTTTCATCTAAGCTGCCCAAGTTTGGTTCAGATAGTTGTTTCATTTCATTGTTATCTCTTTGTTGTAGGCTTTTAGATAATAGAGGCAACATATTTATAATTTTGATACTTTTTGCATGTCATATTGTTCTTTGTATAAAAAAAGTCTTGGTGCAAGTTGCATTAGACAATGATACAGTCTGTAAATTTGGAGTGTCCAGCCATGCACACATTTCCATGGGATCCAAAAGTTCAGGAGTTTTTTCTCAAAGTCAGTTGATAACTCAAATAATTTCCTCTTCCCATCCCCTCACCTTCAACACCCCACCCCACCCCACCCCCACACCCATTCAGTCCTCATTCGACCAGCTCCTTGGGGAGAAACACAACCTGGAGGCTCGCCATCAAGAGATGGTGGCTGCCCTGCAGCAGGAGTACGCCGCGGAGAAGGCTCACCTGATGGAGGAGATCCGTCGCCTGGAGACGCAGCGGCTACAGCTGCAGGCCAACCGGGCGGCCGTGGAGGCTCACATGGGCGCTGTACAGCAGGAGCTGGAGATGACGCAGCAGGATGTGAAGAAGCTGGACGCTCAGGAGGATACGGTGAGGATTTTAGTTTTTGTTAGAGTTTTGCAACTTACTTGGGGTGGACAACGTAAATAGATGGATGACTGGGAAAGATCGGGATATTGTAGCTTTTTTTTTAGAGCATCTGAGCAAAGGAATGAATGGAGAGCCATTATTGACAACAATTATATTATGTCTGTCACAGATGTGGCACTTGATAATGATGATGAAGAATTTTACAGAACATGTACTGGCAACAGAAGTAGGTCATATTAGTGACAAAGATTAGAGGTATTACTAGAGAGTAACTTACGAACAAAAGAAGAAGTGAGGATGAGAATAGATTTTTTATAGGAAAGAAGAAGAAAACCATACCAAAGGGACCGCCAACCACCCTTATAAAGTGAGGATTATGTCTTGTTGTGTTTGTGATTGTAAAGAGCATAGAGCTTACTGTTCATCCCGGATATGCTCTATATAAATGAACAGGCTACAATTTTGACAATTTTGTTATGTCATTGTTCTTTCCTTTTCCTCTATTGTTTCTGTCTTTTTTCTTTCCTGCACTTTATGACAGTCATTGTGCCATCATGCTTTTTTTACTCAAACTCAAACTTTCCCTGTGTCCTGTTTTGTCTCTCAGGAAACAAGTCACGACCTCCCAGTGGGTGAAAGTGCCCTCCAGGAACAGATGACTCTGTTGAGCTATCAGCTGAAAGAGGCACAGACAGCTCAGCATGAATTGGGCCACCTCAAGGTACTAAGAGAAAAGCGTAATCAGATTACTTAATCAAATTTTTTTATGTAGCACATTGTCAGAGTAAGGAAATTTGACTGAAGTTGTTACTTCATATATGACAACCAAAATGCATTTCCACAAAGGCCATGCAGTCTTCAATGAACTTTTATCTTAAATGACTTCAAAGCAAAATTTTCAACTTTGACAAGGCCTACCACACACACACATAAGCCTACAGCTATTCAAAAAGTAAAAACTAAAACAATATGTCAGATTGTTACTTCAAAACTGATACTTTTACGGGATGTATTATGTGTGTGTGTATGTGTGTGTAAAGGCTTTTCAGTGGTCGTTGAAGTATAAAATTAAATGATGTGTTGAGTTTTTTGGGTTTTTTCACCTGTAGGCAGAATATGAGGCTCTGCTTCAGGACAAAAATGACCTTGAACAAACTGTTCACAAATTGAGATCACGGACGTCCGAGGATGACGCTGCCAAGATTAAATCTCAGACGGTGAGTTTACCCCCCACCCTTTTCACCCCGCCAAAAATTGTACTTTTTTATATCCAGTAGAGTTTTTGACTCTTACAAACACAAAATGATAGAAAAAAGTTACAAATTCGGACACGTTGCATCATGCATTCAACTGGGGTCATTACTTTATATTGCCATTTGTTTGTCTTCTGTATAAAGTCACGTCGTTGAAGGTGCGCATGGATTTCTTGTGAACCATAACTCATAATGAGCTATTTTTAGGTGTTTTCAAAATACAGTTGAACCTGCTCTAATGGCCATCTGTAGAAGACAATCATCTCTACAAACGGCCACTTCCTCTTTCCCTCCCTTTTGTTTGTTTTTTAACATTATATTGACACTATGTAAGACAGCCCAACTGCCTAAGATAACCACTTTTCTTCTCAACAATTGATGGTCATCTTAGACAATTGTATGTCTGTATTTTGCTATGAGGCTTCTTTTGATTACTTGTAGCCAAGGAACTAAGTTATTTGACAAAATGGTATCTTACACAAAGAATGGTAGTTGCCACTGCCAATTAAGTGTGTCCTCCCAAAATATCTTAATAAAAATAATAATAATAAATAGTATTTGTATAGCGCATATCCCCGCTCAACAGCAAGCTTTATGGGCTTTATACTATATTATTACCCCAGCAGGCAGCAGAACACTCAAACACATTCTCAGCTTACCGGGAAGCATACAGTGCAAGCAACTGATTTAGCGCTCAAACACTTACAAACTGACAAAATCTGGGTGAAGTGAGGAAAATCTGTGTAAAGTGCCTTTCTCAAGGACACAGCCTCCGTCCCCTAACGGGATTCGAACCCAAGACCTTACGGTTGCGAGTAAGACTAGAGAGCCTGTCCCCTAAGCCACAGAGTGACAATACTTTTGTTGTGATAAATAATAACTCATAAATTCCACATGTTGACCTCTGTGTAGTCTATGTGTATCTGTAATTAGTTTACCCAAGGAAAGGTTGATTGTATTTACTGAATACCAGAAAAACACATTCTCTCAAAATTGTATTTTTAGATAAAGTGTGTTTTACCAGAACCACACATTAATCTAAAAATTTAGATTTTCATATGTAAGTGCAATTTCCAAACATTGGTTTTTCATACATTTTTTTTCCTTAAATGATATGTAGAGTTACTGGTTTTCCATTATCTACCTTTTATTTCCAGGCTCAAATTAAAACACTGAAGGAAGAGAAAGAAAAAATTCAAGCTCTGCTTGACGAGTCCTCTGACCAGGTAAGCGTAACATTTCCTACAAGAGAGAGAGAGAAAGAGTGAGAAAGGAGAGAGTGAAAGAGGAGGAAGTGAGAGAGGAAAGAGAAAGAGAGAGAAGATCTTTGAGTTGCTGTGATGGTAAATAAGTTATCGAAAACAAGAAAAAGAGTTAGTAGCTTAACGTTTTTCTACATAGGACATATGCTAGCGCTCATCTTTACTATCTACATTGCACTTTACAAAAACCTTACACAGCTGAGTTCAGAAACATCTTTTTAATCAGTATGACAAAAGTCAGAAATAACCCCCCCCCCCCCCCCCCTCCATTGAAATGCATGGATAATTTAGGTTCTCTGTTACTGTTAGTGGTTTCCTGTTCAGTCAAAATAACACCAGCGTCTCTGGTATAGCTGTTTGGTCCTTTGCCTTTACTTGCAGGAAACACAAATTCAATTCCCTGAGTGGGGAGAATGTTTATCAAGTATCTCGGTTTTTCTATTATAATGTTGTGTCCCTCTCAGCCTAGGTTGGCCCTTACAGGGTGAGTCAAAGCCCACCTCCTAAATGATCCGAATTGTGTCAATGGAGGTTTAAAAACACATACATTTTAAAATTTGTAAAAAATTCGAAATAACCCTGTGGTGTTAACTTTCTAGCGCTCATCGGTTTATACAGAACCATAATGTGGGCATTTGCATTATATTTTTGTTACTACTGCTTGTGAGTGTTGTTTCTTTGTTGTTGTTAAGACGTGGGGGGAAGGGGGGGGGATATTTTTTAATCCTCAAATTGACTGTAAATGTTTCATTTGTATTGCCTTTATAACAGTGTTGGAAATGGTCACAATCTTCCTATAATTAGTTCATGTTGTGGACACTGGAGGGCTGACAGCCCTCTGTAAATGGAAATGCTGTAACTGATATGTTGATTGTAAAACACATAAAGCTTGCTGTCCAGCAAGGATTTGCACTGCCCATGTACAAATTGTTTTACTTATTTATTATTATTAATGAGAGCCACATTTATTGCTCAGCTTGTGAAGGCCAGCACATCTATGGCTCTGGCCCAGTCCAAGTTTGTCCGAGAGCTGGAGAGCATGAAACAGAAGTCCAGGAACTCGGCGGAGATTGAAAACTACACCCAGCTACAGATCAGCCTAGTGGAGCACCAGCGACTAGTCATCACCCTGCAGGACACACTCAGGGAACGGGAAGCCCTGGTGGAGAAGGTCATTAAAGGTCAGTGAACTCTGAGATTGTCTTTGAGATGGTCTTCAGTGGTCAGTAACTTCTAGGTCAAGTCCTGAGAAGCCTCATGAAACGAGAAGCCCTGGTGGAGAAGGTCATTGAAGTCATGAAAGGTATCAGTGACATCAGAATCTTTTGAAACCATAGTGGAGAGATTATCAAGGTCAATAACCTAGAGATTTTCTTGGTCAACAATGGAGAAGGTTATAATAAAGTCTGTACCTGTTGACAAGTGTGTGTGCGGAAGCTCTCTTTCTCTCTTTGTATTAGTGGTCTGTCTCTTTTGTCTGTCTTTCTGTCCTCTTCTCATTCATTTTTTGCTTAGATCACCATTCTTTTAAAGAACAGGCTCATATCAGCTGAATTTATTTTCAGATGGGGAGGACGAAGTTCAAAGGATCTCACAACTGATGGAAGCAAGGTTGAAAGAGGCCCAGAGTAGATTAGACATCAGCCAGGAGCAACTTTTGAAACATAAAGAGAAAAGCAAACAAATGGTAAGTTTTACTCTCGATTTGTTTCTTTTCTTATAAAAAAAAAAATTAAAAACAGAAGCAGAATCTTGCAATGTAGGCCTACCTCTCTCCACCATTCTAGAACCCCCACTCCTTGATAATTCAAATCTACATTGTCAGAAAAGGAGGCATAAGTCATCCATGGATGTAAAGGAAAATACACTTGGTTTGTTTTGTTTTGTTTTTGGTGGGGGGGGTTTTGGGGGGGGGTGGTTCGCATAAAACATTTTGCCGTTTGGATATTTGTCATTGTAAGAAGTTTGCATCATGTAGAGTGATTCTGTTCACTTTTTATATATTTACCATTCAGGTCATTCTGAGAATTTTTATTTGCAGCTTGTGGCTGATATTTTGATTTTTATGTGTTTTTGAATGATAAGGAGTAATATCTAGTGTCAAAATTCTGTCATTACCAATGGCCTTTTTTACGCAGGACTCCTTTCTGATTGTACAATGGAGCAAAACTTCATCGTAATGATCTGACTGGGAGTTATTGTGAAACTCTGTTTATTCATGTTACATACATTTGTATTGCTCATGTGTAATCTTCAAGATCTAATGATAATAACCAGCATGTGTTGTGTTGTGTTTAGGTAGGCGTACTTCACCATCGCGTTGAGGAGACCTGAGTTCAATGCATCAGTGGGAAGAATTTTTATGGAGAATCTCAATCTTTTCGCTAAGATGTTTCATCCTTCTTAACACAAGTTAGCCTTAACAGGCAAGGTTGAGCCCACCTCCTAAATGATCTAAATTGTGTGGATACCTAAACAAAATTCTTTTTTAAAACTCTATTTGTTTGTTGTAGTGTGTTTGTATAAGGCTTCTCTGCCATTTCACCGTATTTTTCATTTTGACTCTGTGTTCCAGCGAAATACAACAAATCGGAGAGTGTTAGTGCTGAAAGACTTGTACATGGAAAACGCTGACCTTCTGAAGTCTTTGGCTGAGAGCGAGGAAAAGCGTCGCAGCTCAGAACGAATAGGAAGAAAAGTTACAGAGAAATGTGAAACATATAAGAGGACTATTGACCGCTTATGTCACACTCTGTCAAGATGAGAGAAAGTTCAGTCGAGTATCAGGACTATGCCAACTGTGGACAGTGCCTTCTGTGATGTGTTTGTATATAAGTTTTGTGATACCTGTCAGAAAAAATGTGTCACTGAAAACCTCACCGTGTTAGCTGTCCTTTCTCTAAAGTACTTTTGCATGCTCTTTGTTGTTAACAGTTTTTTATCACTCTATTTCCCTCTTTTTAATTCAATTTCTTGTTATCGTATGAAGCACTGCTTTCTTGGATTTCAAAGCTTAAATTCTTCAAAGCTGTACTTTGTCTCCATGTTCATCTCAAAGTTTTAATCACATAGTTTGTTGGGTTGTTGTTTTTTTTCTTTTCGAAATTATCGATTTTAGATAATGACAAAGGAAATTGCTGTAAAGACAAATCATATTCATTTGATGGTAATTTTTTAGTATACAAAAAATGAATTCATTAAGGCACTTTCCCCTGTTGATTTTTGTTCATGTATGTTATACTTCCTGTAGCTATTGTATATTTACTTTGATCATATGTGAGGCAGTGTGATGAAATCAGGCGCTCGTCAAAATAATGAAATAATGGAAACTGGCACTTCCGCCAGTTCAGCAATTTTTATCGAATTTTTTTTTTTTGACTCAACACCTTTTATGTCAATTTAGGAACACGTTTATGTGTGGATTTCACTGAAAAACGTTGATTAAAGGCCCAAAAAATGTTAATTTTCAGTTTCCATGGACTCTCAAGCTATGGAAATAACCAAATTTTGGCGACCATTTTCTCTCTGAAACCAGTCTACCCCCACCTTCTTCTATCGCAAATATCTCGCCTTGTATTCAAGAAAAATGGGTATTGGGGAGGGGGGGGGGGTATTTTTTTCTTGAAATCAAAACAAAAGAACAAGCTTTAAACAATAAATCCTCATGCCGAAAAATTGATGAGCACCTGATTCCACTGTATCTTGACACATATTCTTTCCCTGCTTTGACTCACCCAATTCTCCTGAATGTCCGTGTGGATGTCTCAGGTTTTCAGATATAAATGCCCCGTCTACTTTTCCCCCCACACCCATATTTCTGTACCTGCTGGACTTCACCCTAAAACAGAGTGCACTATGTCAATGGAATTCATTTGATTGAGTCGAGGGCCAGCCAGACTTTCTTTCATGAACAGGACAAACTGCTGTTTGGGTACAATTCAACCGAGTTCAACTTAATTTGACTGTGACCTTCAAAATCAGTCATTTGTTTTTCAAGGTTGTGAGTTGAATTGGTCATATTATGCCAAAATTTTCCACAATTATAGCTTTTGCCCCTCCATGGAGGAAAATCTGACTTTCTGGGACTCAGGTTTGATTGAATCTAATTAACAGTGTGCTCTGAGTGTAATATGATGGTTAGCCGAGGAAATGTTTTACTTGTGGTCTCTTACATGGATGTCAAGTGCATGAATAAAGCAGGTGCAAGAAAACACCTTTTGAGAATGCAATGTAGCTCTTACAGGATAAATGCGATCTAGTTTGCAGTTTGAAGTGACGGTAAATGCTTAACAGTTAAGAATTGATATTCTATGTGTGATAAAGTACAGCTACTAAACCTCCAAAGAAGAGCCAAAAGTCATTTTCTTTTCAACGTTAAATGCATTTTGCCATCTCTTTAAGTTCTATATCACAATGAAGTGTGCAATATTATTATTTGAAATTGATTAACAGTTTTTTCTGCTCCGTCCTTGATTACTTTCACACTATTGAATTGTTATCTGCATAGAATATCATATCCATTTATCATGCAGTAAGCCTAAGAACATTCTTAACCACATGAACATTCTAAAAACTCATTGTTTATAAACTTGTTCATTGAATTCATCCTCTTTGTAAAGATTAATCTAGTTTAAATAAAGGCATATTAGTTGAATATATATATATATATATATATATATATATATATATATATATATATATATATATACCAAAGACATAGTGCAAAATTATTGTTGAATTTCAGAACTTCATGTTTGTGCGTCTTCTCAAATTGATTAGAATTAATATAGATCTACATGATATCAGAGAGTCTACATTACAAGAGGGGCCACTCCTCTCTTTGAGCCAATTAAAAAAGTGTCCTCAAAATTCGGTGGCGCCCTCCTCACAAATGCGCACCTTTTGCGAACAGAGTTACCCTACTTGTGTTAAAAAATTCAAAGTGAAACTAGCAAGTTTTAGAATAAATTTCGGAAGAACGCATTTTTAAAATGGTTACACTGACAAAAAAACCTTTTCCGGAGGAAAGGATGATTGTTTTCTTTGTTTAATTTGACTTTAGAATGAAAGGTGAGAGGTCATTAAAAAAAATATTTAACTAAAACTCCGCACTGAACGAACCCGAACTGCTGATGAACAGCAGTGGATCTGCGCATGCAAGGAGGTGCTTTTCCTATTCTTCTTCTGGAAAAACGAAAGAGAGCTTCAAAACAGACTGCAGCGCCATCTGAAGCAAAGAGCGGACTTCCAGCGGACACTTTTTGGGCTGAGTGGCCCATCTTGTTATGTACTATCTTTGATGATATGCATGATTCCACGATATTTTCGCTGGCATTTAAGTGATAAGGACAAGGTTAAACCGGTTTCTTGAAAATTAGATGCAAGTGCAAGAAAAAGATCTGAAGTATTCTCCACATTGTTTAAGTTACTGTACAATGGACTTTTTGGGTGAGGTGGGGGGGGTTCTGTGATGTCCTATATTACTCAACAGTCTCTTGAATTAGTTCTGTTTAATTTCCCTTTTATTGCTGTGTTTTGCATTTATGTTCCTTTTTAGACTGTATTGAGTTTGTTCTTTGCTGTGTTTGGTAGTTAATTTTATGGACATTAGTCATGTCCTTTTTGTGTTGCCTTAGCTCTTTACTACAAATATACTGCCATTTTGAAATTACAATTCACTCTCATATTTACAGAAAAAATGTATGTGAAGCATGTACATCTCTCTCTGCATATTTCATTTCTGTGTGTGGAAGGAAGAAAAGTATATATATATATATATATGTGAGGCATTGTGGTGAAATCAGGCGCTTGTCAAAATATTGAAATCGAAGAAATCTGCATTTTTCGGCCAGTTGGAAAAAAAATTTCGATTTTTGTTTTTTAACTCAACACATTGTATATGTTCATTCAAAATCATTTTTAAGTGTGGATTTTTATGGAAAAACCTTGATATAAGGAACGAAAAATGTAAATTTGCAGTTCTCAAGCAAACTTTGGTGGTCATTTTCTCGCTAATTTTAATTTCGAAACCAGGCAACCCCACCTCCTTCAATCACAAATATCTCAATTTTCATAAAATGCTAGGCAAATGAACAACCTTGAAGATGATTCCAATAACTCCATAAACCCAAAAATTGAGGAGTGCCTGATTCCACCACGCCCTGACACTTTTCTAATCCTGCAGCTTGAATGATTTTTTTTATACACCAGTACCTTTGCATTTTTTTCTTCTTTCATTTTTGTTGTTCTTCTGACAAAAAATTAATGGTTGCTTTGTAAGGTTTTTTTAAATAGGGGCCTACTAATTCAGATAACATGGTTCATATAAAGAAAGATCTTTTGCTCCTTTTATGATAAAGTTTTAGTCAATTATGTCGATGTTATATTTACCAAGGTTTTCTGCTTTTAGATTTTGAGTGTTCCCCTCACTGTGCATGGCCTAGTCAGCCACTCACAAGTTCTAGCATTTTTAAAAGTGGATAACAGTGCTTAGATACCACTGCCTAGATAACAGTGCTTAGATACCAGTGCTTCGATAACAGTGCTTAGATACCACTGCCTAGATAACAGTGCTTAGATAACAGTGCTTAGATAACCTTAGATAACAGTGCTTAGATAACAGTGCTTAGATAACAGTGCTTAGGTACCATTGCCTAGATAACAGTGCTTAATGAGGAAGTCTCCAGTTGTGGATGGCTCAGAGCTCAAAGTCATATACAGAAAGGTCAGAAACTATTTTCAAAATCACGAACTTTTCGCTGCTTATGAGAAATATATTAACATTTTTGTACAAGAAACAAATCATGCCTTTTCTGTGTGAGTACAAACTCAAATTGCCAAGATCCCTCCATGGAATGAGCAATTTGTTTTTTCTTGAAAAGTTTCTAGTAGGCTATAAATAGGGGAACAACATTCTAACCATAGAACTTAACAATAAATTTTATTCAGCTTCTTTGAGTTGCGAGCTAGTCAAGCCCCTGGTCTAATATTTTTTCCCTCAAATCATGTGATTGAGTTGAGCTGTTTTGTTTTGTTTTGTTGCTTTTTAAAATTTTTGGGGGGGCTCGGGGGGGCGGGGGGGAGAATCTTTATTTTGATTTTGTTTTTGGCAGGCTTGTACATGTACATATAGAAATGTGTGCGTCGAGAACAAATCTAGTGTACCAAAGATTTTAGAGCAGAGTGCCTGGTGTGTTGAGCTGTCAAGTACATGTAGATCTGGTTGTTTGTCATGGATTTTTTTGGGGGGGTTCCAAAAGCAGTGTTTTCCCAAACTGCTGTTCTTTACTTTTTATGTTGAGTGATAGTAATGTGTGCCTCTATTCCTGGTGTCTATTTTACATGAATCATAGCTCATTATCATATGCATTTTATTTTGCATAATAATACAATAAATAATTGGAAAAAAATAATTAGTCTGACTTATTTTGTGTTGAGGTAAAGTATGATCATTGACCATTTAATGATTCTTTGCTTGGTGAAACAACATATGGCTTGATTGTAAATGCTTATTGATAATGCCATCATGAATGCTATTTTGACCATTTAGGAGACAGGCTGTTTGGACGCTGTCCATGCTGTGTGGGACATATTCTAGCAGAAAGACAGAAGAAACTTATTACATAAAATATATTTCTCACACAAGAATTGAACTCACAACCTTTGAGTGGAAGGCAAAGAATAACCATTTTAACATGGCATTACGTGTGTGACACTTCTGATGCGTTAATTAAAAGTTCACCCTTCATGTACAATATAAGCTACGCTAGTAGTAGTACATGTAATGATGTACAGCTGGCTGACGGTTTTCTCTTCACCAAACACATCTCCTTTTTCTGTGCTAATTCCTCTTTCACTGTATAAAAAATGTACCCTCTTAAGTTGCTACTTCTTTACCTAAAAATATCTTAAAGAAGCAAAAAAACTGTCAGCAAGCTGTGAAAATGTAATATGCCCAGACGGCCATTTCCGGAGAAAGAAAAGATTGTTTCATTCTTTGAACAACTATACCTACAATGTATTTTTTTCTTGCTTTTTACAACACTTAAAAATTTTTTTCAATTTCGATGAAACATTTCTTAAGCTTGAATACAATCAATACCACAGATTTTACATTTTTAAATCTGTAATTTACAAAATATAAGTTGGATATTCTGCATCTGTACAGCTGGCCAAGGAACTAAGTAAAACAGCTTTGTAATTTATATTATGATAGACAATACCTTGTTATACTGCACAAGAATTCGACCATAGTGAGTGGATTCAGACATTAGAAGTGCTTATTTTTCTTTTTCTTTTCCGCGTGACGTTGAGCTGCACTACTTAATTCTGGCTTAGCGTAATAATATAGTTCGCATGAAAACCATTTTGCCCAGTAGTGTCTCAAGAAATTATCTTGGTAACTGACGAGGGAGGGATT